ACAGGAGTGTTACTGCTGAGGGGTTGGGGGTCAGGGGTCAGGGGTTCGACAATTTTTTTAAATCAATGATCTGATTTTTGTGCTTATGCTCCCTCTGCTGTTATGTGCAGTGAATGCGCCTGCACTGCCACAGATGGAAATATTCAAATATTGTATCTATTATCATTGTTACTATTCTTATCATATATGGTGCAACCCACATAAAGAGTCACATCTGTGATTATTCTGATAAGTGGTCAGTCTTTTTAAAAGTGGAGTCTGAGTGGTGTGGCCGGGATAAGTGCTTGTTAGTGAACTGGTTGGATGCACTGTAAAAAAGGGGGAAGTACCCTTCAGGTCCAGAGAGCCAGGATGAGTGCAGCATGGAACAATGAGAGCAAAGATCCTGACGATGAAGGCACCAACAAGTAGGCATTCAGAGTTACTGCACATTATGGCAACATTCTGGCAGGGCATTCTGAATCTTCAGCAGCGTTTTCTGGTATGGTAAAAACAAACCCAGAATGATCTAGTCTAATTGCTAGTCTATCTTGCTGCAGTGTGATAGAGACAGAAGAGATATTAGCTTTAGATTTTTTGCCTGTCAGATAGATGAAACTACTGACACTACTGTATCCTGTACCACGTAAATGGTACAGAAATCATTCATGAACGTTTTGTTGTTTTTTTTTTTTTTTTTGACATATCGGATGGTTGTGATGCTTAGTGTTTACACACTGCACAGGAGCACGGGACGGACAGATACTCCATATCCAGAACAGAACATAAGAAACTCCAAATGGTCTTGTGTGACTGTCCTCTTCTGTGTTTTTCCTCACCACTGTCACCCTGGAGTCGCTTGGTATGGGAAAATGTTTAAGCAAAGTAATTACATTTGATTTGAATTGTAAGTAATGGGTTTGTATTATACTGTGTTTGTTGTCTAATTGATTGTGGATCCAAGTAATATCCTCCCCCCAGAAGTCTCAGACTACCCAGTTTAGAATGATTTGCCCAAAAATGTCCTTCTGGGAACCCAAACCCCTACCTCCTCAGGAATTACAGCCCAACAGCTGCTACTTTTTTATATTCTGTGTTTATGCAGAGTTGGGCGTTTCTGTGGCTTCCTGCAAAAATAACCACAATGACCCAACCAACACATGACAAACATTTTTTTCAGAACCATCTAACATCATCTCACCAACGAGATTTTGTATCTTACAGGTCCAAGCAAACCATTCTCACTTCTCTCTTTTATCTTCTGCATCTCCCCGTTAATTTCACTTCTGCTTTAGATGACAGCAGATGCACTGGTACCCCATTTCTGTCTTTCTCACCATTGGTTTCTCAGACCTCAGCACATTCTTTAATACAATGTAGTTCTGATGTGAAATCCAGATCCACCCAAAGAAAGAGAGAAGAGGGTGGGGAGGGTGACATGCAGACTGGCAAGAGAGTGAAAGTGATGGCAGGGGACACAGATACAGATTCAGTTGACTGGGGTTATGTTGCTGTGACACACACCTCCCAGACCAGGCATATTACCAGTGAGCAGCCATTTTGCGCCAGCCCTCAAGTCATGCGATGGCCGACACACTGAATCGATCTAGTTTTGGTAGCCTAAATGCATGACAGACATGCACTGTCTCACAGAATAAGGATGCAGTGATCAGAATACAGATAAACTTACTGTACGGTGTATACTTGCTGCAAATTGAAAGTTTGGGTTAAGGTTAATAACGAACTGTCACTGTGGTGGTAGGTGGCAAAGGTGGCTCATCCTCGGGTTTCTGCTTGCACAGTTTTCTTTGTCTTCAGGTTTTATTTGTTTCAATGTTTCATGCTTGCAGTAAGAACCGTGCGTTCTTCTACCATCCAACACAACAAAATCCCTTTCACCCAATGCAGCTACACCCAATGTGCATGTACTGCCCCACATGGTCAGGAGTATTATCCCACTCGAAATACACATAGACAGGCATAAACAATACATTGGCTCCCCCGATGATCAGAGTAGAGAAAGGGCCCGTCTGTAGAGGGCGCTGTGACAACATCTCTCACCATGTCAGAGGCAGGTGTCCCTTCACCTTCTAACAATGTAGAATATGCAGTGTATGTGTGTACAAACAATGCAGACACTATCTAGGCAAATAGGCACTGATATTATTTTCATATTCTCAACAAACCATAATCATTGACTTTGATTTCTTTTTCACATGCGGTTTGTTAGTAATGTAATAAAGGTAAGCTCTTCTTAAACAAATAAAACAATGACAATGCTGAAAAAACTAATCAGTAACAATTAGGACATGAAAACAAGAAAAAACACAAATAATGTTGTATGCTTAAAAGAGATGTAACAAGGGATTTTACAGGTTCCTGGACACATTACATCGTTACATATGTTCATAGCTGACATATTCACCCAGAGTGATTACATAGCTTACATTTCACATGTGATCCATGTATGCAGCTGGATACTTACTGCAGCTATACATGTTAAGCACAACAGGAACAACAGCACTGCCCACCACCTGGGAATGGAACCCGCAACCTTTGAGCTACAGGTCTGTAACAGTACACCATACTGCCACCCCAAGCAGCCAGGCAGTCACGACTTTTCACTCATATTGTGACACATACCCATGGGTTTTGTTTTGCTTCTAAATGATCAAACAACAAAATGTCAGTTGTGGACTGCAGGCCCTGGGCCATGGGCTAAACTGCCTTCATGTAGCTGCACAGATTTGGAACTGATACTGAGAACAGTAATAAAACTTAAGGACTTTGGTTGAACCAGCGAGTGGCTCAGCTGCCAAGAACCAGAGACAGAAAATACAGATGGACTCCAGAAAGGAATTAGGCTTTTGTTTCATTCAGTCCCCTTCTCCTCCCTTCCATGTTCTCTTTCATAGTTTTTTGCACCCTAATAATCAGTGACTTTACAGATTTTTGCACCATAACACAACACAACTTGCTAATTGAAGCTCCAAAATAAAATTTGAAAGGGGAAATTTCAGATAACCCCTATGCCTATCCCTTTTCCTACTTTGTTCGTGGGGTCCGTTGAATGACTGTGAATGGAATTGGCTTCCCATAGGCTCTCACCCCATAAGCCACTAAGTTAAAGAAAATATTAATACACACAAGAGATTATGAGAGATTGAAGAGCATTGTGTGTGTATTTGTGCTTGATTTTTTTTAGAAGCCCTTGCTGGAATTCTTCTACTCATCTTTCAGGTCCTCCCCTGTTAAGAATAGCACACTATGGTTAAAGATCAGGCACATTCATGTAGAAAAGACTAAGACTCTCAAAGACGTGATAGTTACTGAACTGCTGAATGAAGTCAATGATCCCTAATGGCACTTACTGACAGACAGAGTCCTCAAACCTTCGCTGCAGCGTTGGAGGAGGAGTCTGAGCCACTGTCTGAGGCTAAGGAGGAAAAACAGAAAAATCCAGCCTGCTTTACGTATGCGTAGTTAAAGACACACAGATTAATTACGTACTGTAATTATATGATTAATAATGTTGCTGTTGGAGCCAGGGAAATTTGTACAATGCCTTTACGGAGTAGGGACACATGAGGGTGCTCTTGAGCAAGGAGTGTTTCTGTTAACCCTTTATTCTGAACAGAGGTGTAATACAAGAGGGTCCTGTAATGCCTGATTGTGAAACAGATACTGAAAACATCTAACTGATCTCAGTACAGTAGACCCTCTGCATTCAGAAGGGGTACCTTACAGAGGTAAATCCACAAATACTATGCTGTACCTATAGGCAATAGCACCTTAACAAAGGGGACCTATTTTCAACACAGAACATCCTAGTTTGGTTTAAAATATTTTGTAAAATTTATGGTAAGTAATTAAAATCTGTGCAAAAGCACTTGCTTTTTGAAAGTAAATGAATGCTGTTTGTTTACATAATTAAAAGCTAGAAAGCAAGGTCACTTCTCCTTTTAACATTTCTTCAGAATGACAGGAAGGCATTGAAATCACTAATGCAACTGCGAGTGACTGTCCTGGGCAAAAGGTGAAACATCATATTCTATAAATGCTGAAACACAGATCACAAGAAAGGCAGAATTGTAAAAACAGAAAGGGAAGTGGCATGTTTGTCAGTTAGCACAGTCCACACTGAAAACCATTTTAAGTAGTAAGGTAAAAGACTCTGACGTAGTATTCTGGTGACGTTAACAGCTGGATCTAAGCCTAGCTCCGGTGAAATGTGTATGCTAATGCATCCTAATGTTAATGCACCTTTACTGTGCATAAGGCACATTTAATATTATCCCTTTGGTAGATGACTATATTTCAGTAGATACAAATTTCCACACAATCAAAGTGTAAAGGTTGCATTTGATCTAGTTATAGAGGTACTTGCTATTTGGCTTGGAGTTGAATGAAGGGATCACAACTGGCAGTGGGCCGAGATTGCTGACCCCCCCATGTAGACATAATAAACAGGGAAAAGAAAGTGGGGAGATGGGGAGGAGGAGGGATGCTGTGAACCACTGAGGTGGACAGGAAAGGGTAAGTGGGATTTTTACAGTCGTGGATGGGACTGTTGTCTATGTTTGGTTAATTGCATTGGGATTTTCTAAAAATTCTCCTCAAAAATCTTTGTTCTGAATTTCAGTTTGCTGAGTGCCCCCATTTTGTGCCATGGAGTGCCTCCCTATATATGCTGTTATTTTTCTCATGGAACGCATCTACTTATTCATTAACTGAGGTATACCTTCATCAGTGTTTCTACGATAATGCCATAAACGCCTGTACTATGCCATTCTGCAGCCTGGGAACTGAGAGTGAAGCCTGGCCTGGGAGAGCACACTGCCTGGCACTAACATTGACAACTTCAAACTGCAAATCTTCATAAACACATCAGCTAAGCATCATGGAAACATTTTTACTGTGGCCCAATGGCAATGACGCTGATAAATCCTGGCTTCTAAGCCAGGTCAGAGGTCACCCCTCCTATGAAGCATAACCTCCTATTAAATATGAACATAAGGGGCAACAGTGTGGCGTAGTGGTAAGGCGCAGGGCTTGTAACCAAAAGGTTGCTGGTTCAATGCCCCACTGAGGCACTGCTGTTGTACTGTTGTATAAGGTAACCCACAATTGCCTCCAATTGTGTAAATGGATAAAATTGTAACCTATGTAAGTTAGTCTGGAAAAGAGCATCTGACAATGATGTAATGTAGTGTAACCAGATATGACAGGGTATACTTACTGCTAGCTGTTTCCTCAAGCACAACCTAAAACACAAAGACAGGCAGAGTCAGTGTATTCTCACTCTCAGTTTGCACAACTGGGTCAGAAATCATATGGCTGTTTTTGTGGTTTACTGCATGTCACTGACAGTATGGCTTAGAGTTCCCCGATCAAATTTCCCCAACTTCTCCTCAAACGCCCCTAAAGATTGTATGTGACATTTCTTGTGTTATTCCATATAACCCCATAATGAAATTTAAAACAGTGTTCATGTTATTTCAGTGGTATATAATGAACTAATGCTTAGACACATTTTTTAAAAAGCTGAGAAATATTTAAGCTTCTGTTGAATAATATTGTATAGAGTTGTATTGTATCAAATTGTATTGCATCATATTGAAGTGAATAGACATATACCAATAGTGTATGTAGTGTCGATGCTTAGGTGTTGATAATGTATCATCGTTGTGAAGGCATTGAGACATTATTATTATTACAAACATATCAGTACATATAATGCATCTCAGATCTGAGGCATAGTTTCAAACCGTCAAAACAGTGAGTCATCTTCATCCATAACTACATGACATCCCCTGTGTTCCTGGGTGGTTAAATATTTCACCATGTTGTTTTATGCGTTTTTAAAACCACTTACGGAGTTTCCAGCTTTTCTCTTCTTCCACAGAATTGCCCCATTGACAGCGGCAATGACGGCCAGGACAAGGGCAGGTACCACAACACCAACGATTATGGCAACAAGGGGAAGTCTTTCTGGATGTGTAATCACAGACAGACAATTATTCAGTGAAAATACAAAACCCCTTCAGATGGGGAAAGACTGAGAAATGAGCAGACACACATACACACACCTCAACTCACGCACACATACATAGACAGATAAACACAATGACCTGACAGAGTATGGTCACTTCTTTAACACAGACATTATGGCTGAAATCCTCACCTTCATCACCCTTGGTGACCACTGAGTCATGGCTGCTTGCTCGCCCAAACTAAATCCTGCATATACAGACATACAAGTCTTGTCTACATCCTCAGATTTTATGGTAACACTACTGTGATGTTATTACAAATGTCAGTAATCCATACACTTGGATTTCTGACTTTGAACAATGAGACTGAGATTGATCAATGAGATTGATCTGACCTGTGGGGAAATCTTCCCAAAATCATTGTCTGTGATCATACATCTAACTTCTCCTCTGCAGCCACTATTCACTCTTTTCCTGTTCCAGCCGAGCACTAATCCATTTCTTTACCCCGGTTGGTCTTTATCTCCTCCTCAGTTACAGGCTTGATAATCATCTTCTCTAGGCTGCTGTGGTCTACAATGCAGGTGAACTTGTGTTCCTTCAGGTCTGCAGGTGAGACTGCCAGTCTGCTTCTGGTCTGGAACGTTCCGTCCTCATTGGGCACTGTCTCCAACAGCTCCACATCCTCATGCAGGTCCTCTCCGTCTTTCTGCCAGGACACCACAATGCCTTTGGGGAAGAAACCGGTGGCAAGACAGGTGACAGGAGAGGAGGGGTCCCCCTGGAGCAGAGAGACCTCAGGAGGGACTGTGAGAGAGAGAAACAGAGAGGGAGGGAGTCAGAAGGCTGTATATATTTCCTATTAGTAACCCTGCCTTGGAAAAGTCTGTATTGTAAAATAAAGCAACAAAGCACAGTCTGAGTCTTGAATCTTGAGATGATTGTAACTGAGAAGATTTATGTAACATACTATCCAATACAGCTGTACTTGGAATTACTTTCCCATAGGTCCATAGTTTGTTAGGTGGATGAGCTCACTAACTAGCAAGTTAGTTTGTCTATTTCCTTAGGGTTGTCAAAGGCAATGTCCCAAGACATTTCCAGTGAGGCCCTCTCACAGAGCTTTGGGTTTAGAGAGATGTGAGCTCATCAGACACAAGCATGGAAAGTGCAGATATGTGCCATAGCTAGCTGTGTAGCTTGCAGTAGTTAACAATCATGTGAGTGTGCTCATTAGCGAGGTAGACATATCAGCTTATTAGCAGCTAGCCTGTAAAGAGAATCAATATTTATTTCATGCCATTTTTCTTGATACTGCTGTGCTGTGAATAACATTCTGTGTTTTCTAGTGTCTAAGATTTACTGTAATGAGTCTCTGACTGTACCTTCTCTCTCAAGGCTCTTTTTGCCATAGTCAATAAACAAATTCAATGCTTCGATGCACTCGTTCACTAAAAAGATTTTCCAGATTTGGGTTATAGTTCCACTGGACTCCCAGTCTTGCTTGACAATGAAGGCCTGTGGGTTGGCAGCAATCCAGGTGAAGGTGCTGGTGTCCAGAGTGAGAAAGTCTTCTCCATCATAACCTTGTTGAACGAACCCTTCGGTTTTCCCCTCATCATCCAACTGACAGCCAAACATGAGTTGAAGCGTGTGGATTCCTGCAGGGAAATAACAGACACATGTGAACAATGACATACCTTCACCACTCTGCTCTGCTTTGGTCCAGAAACACAAAAACTAAAACAAATAAAACCATACTGTATGTATCCAAAGCCAAACTACACCCAAATATTTTACTAGCTATAGCTGGCAAAACTACACCTGTATAAATTACCAGCTACACCTGATAAAAGTACACCCAGATCTCTGAGGTTGGATTGTGCATTGACAACACAGTAGAGAACGCAGCCCAGTGAGGAAGACTTCCTTACAACAGTGTGTGGAATCCATTGATCGAGGGCCAGAGTGAGACAGTGTGTCTTTGGTATTGAATGGCTTAGAGGGGCTGGTGTCTCAGCTCCTAAAACTACTCTGGATGGTACAGCAGTGGCTGCAGCCGACAGAGCTCAGTCCCACCAGCATTGGGAAGACTGACACTTCTCCAAGAGCTCTACCATCTCCTGCTACGCTGTGGAAATGTATGGAGAAGCAACATCCCCAGACGTTGGAGATGGTGGATTCTCATTGAGAAGCCAGTGGTGGGTGTTGAGGTTGGTGAGAAGGGCACCACAACAAGAAAAGAACCACCTGGGTGGCCCCACAGTAAGAGGATGAAATCAGTCTGGGGCCAAAGGTGTGGGATGAGATTTTTGAATGAATAGTTAAATGAAATTCAACCTCAGTCTAGTAACCATCCCTGCTAGTGCTGCTTACCTCCTGACTGATTGAAGAGCTCCATGGAAATCTTCAACATCAGTTGGAAGTTTTGTGTGAGGGTATTAAGACTTCTGGTGTAATGATCTATGTAGGTCTCATCCACGTTTTCCAACCACTGCTGTCTGAGCTGTAAGCGTTTGATGCTGCTATCAAAATACCCCACCGTGTCTTCATCCACAATGGCTACAGCCACAAAATCAGGGAACACACTCACTCCTGTGGTGCCAGTTAAACAGTTCTTCCACAAGTGTGTCACTACAATTAGAACGAAAAAGAAAAACTGCTTTAGACATTTTATTTGCTTTCCATATATCAGGAATGTGACCTGAACCAAGGATATTGTGACTTTGGGTAATGTACTGCACAACGTCTGATACAAAGACACCAACTCAAGGAAATTTCATGCCATTTTACCAGATGCACTGTGTAAGTCCCTCTGGATAAGAGTGACAATAATGCAAAATGACAATAATCTAACATAATGTAAATGTTAGCCGTCACATGTATACATTCATGCAAAGCACTATAGTATTTTTAGTACACTATAGGCTAACTTCATTTATTTTAGTCCCTATTTGCTCCCTATTGTCATTGTTTTGCTTCTTCCCTCTCCTCAATTATCATCATATAATTATTATATTGTTGTTGTTATTTGGGGACCAAAAATCTATTTTTATTGTTATTGTTTGGATTTTTGTATAATTTTTCTAAAAATAGCTGTAAAAATCAGATGGTGGCTTGTACAGTACTTGAAATGGAATCTGTCCAGTGTATTGAACAATAGAATCAAGGTATTTGGCCATAAAATCCAAAATGGTGGCTAAAACTTGACACTACAAAACAATTTCCAATAAATCCACCATAATGTGTAAAGCTCTAAAACATTGCACACGTAAATATCCAACATAGCTTAGCACCTTGTCTCCAGTAATTACTCCATTCTGAACTGTCCAAATTTTTAAGAATGTTGTCAGTGCTTCAGCCCCCTAGGTGTTTTTGTTTTCTCGCGGTCTGTCACTGTGTGTCCATGTGCTTTTGTTTTCCCTTGTGTTCCAGCCCTGCCCCGCTCTGCCCTGTCCCCGCCCACCTGATTTCCTGATCACCTCCACCTGCCTGCCTGCTCACCTGCATCCCATCGCCTCGTCAGCCCAGCCCTATATTTACCCTGCCCCTCCCTGTCTTGTTGCCAGTTTGTTACAGCGTATTTTTGCCTGTCTCGGTCCTGCATTCTGTTTCTGTGTTTGACGTTTCCCGTTTTCGACCCTGCCTGTAGCTCGACCTTGCTCCTGCCTGCTGCTTTGCCCTGATTGCCCGATCTACCTGCCTACCTGGTTTGACCCTGCCTGTTCCCGTCTTCGATCTCGGTTCTGCTTTCGGACTGCCCGCCTGGTCTCGCCCCTGCCTGTTCTGTCATTACGATACTGCCTAGCGATCATTAATAAAGTCGCCTGGAACCTGAAGCACTCGTGGTCTGCGTCTGAGTCCATGCTTGTGCCCTGACAAATGTAGCATGTCAGCAAAAATATCACATTATTCACATCTGTTGACTATCAGATATTAGTTAATCAATAACTGATATTTTAGTGAGAAAGCATGGACATCAATTGTCAATCAGTTAATTGAGTTTGCATGTAATATAACAACAGTGAGTCTCATAATGAATGTATCATGCGATTCAACCTCCTGCACCCCATTGATAAAAATGTGCAGCAAAGTTAC